TGATCTGCCCACCTCAGCCTCCCAAAGTGCTGGGATTACAAGCATGAACCGCTGCACCTGGCCCTGGTTTTCTTTTTCTTACTCAAAGACGGGGAAGGGTTGAAAGGACAAGAAGGAGGTATTGTAATGCCAGCACTTTGGGAGACAGAGGCGAGAGGATCACTAGAGCCCAGGCGTTCAAGACCAGCCTGGGCAACAAAGCAAGAACTTATTTCTACAAAAAATTGTAAAATTAGGAGGTATCGAGACCCCCCAGGATTGAGTGAAGCAGAGGTGGTCAGCATGTGTCCTCCTTGCCACGCTGTGCAGCTGCAGGGGTGCCATCACCTAACTGGCCCCTCTTTCCCATTTGCACAAACGCTGTGTGGGCTGCAGAGGTCCAGGTAGACCCGTAAGGAGGGTCACTTGGGGGCAATGGAGAGCTTTTTGGGAGTTCAATATGAGTTTTCTAGACCCATCCTCCTCCTTGGCAGCTAAGGAGCAGTGTGGGGGGAGGTCAGGCCTGAGCCTCAGGTGTTCCCTCTCTGCCTTCCTGTGGGTGGAGAGCCAGGTATTACCAGGTAAGAAAAGGGGCTTTGTGGGTACAAGGCCAGTGGTGAGTACATTTGACCTGGTCTTAACCAAGCCAGTTCCCTGTTCTCAAGGCTTCTTCCTCCTATGGAGGAGGGGATGGGAACCACATCCAGCTCTGACCCTAGTGGCAGCCAACCAAGTAGTCACTTGGGGTGGAGGAGGGGCAGGAAGGAACTCAGTAAATCCTGGTATGCTGCATGTTTGCTCTGAGACTAATTGCTGGGAAAACCCCATGACGTTGAAACCATCTCCTTCTCCGTTAACGCAGAGAAAAACAGAAGCCAAAATAAAGCCCCATCCGGAAACATCCCTGACAGCAGAGACAAACAGCCTGCCAGCCTGGTTTACTCATTAGCAGGCAGCTGCTGCCGTGGAGTGGGTGGGGAGGGGAGGTAGTGATAAGCTACAACTCTGCCTGCCCACCCATCACTAAGCTGGGCAGATTTGGGAGCAGCTGCAATTCTAGCAGCTCCACCAAGAAGCAGAAGCCTCCCCTGCTGCCCTGGCTGGTATGAGTGTTACAGCATCCCCAAAGCCACCAGAGAGGTCTCCAGCTGCCCCTTGTGGGCCTGGGGACTATGGGGTTCCTAAAGTGTGCAAGGTGTCTGGGCCCCCAGGCCCAAACACCAAGACCTCTCCCTCCATTTATTCCCCACCTGCCCCAGCCCCCACTGTAGGCCCGGGTCGGAGGGTGAGCTGGCCGTGACTGCCCCCGCACCATGCACCTGGTACATGGCATTCGGCAGCATTTATTGCAGTGTCTGCGTTGTTTGTGCACCTGTCTGCCTTGCAGCCTGGAGCTCCTGAAAGCTGGGACCAGGCCCGATCACCTTTCCTCTTCCACAGTGTGGGGTTCACACTAGGTGGCTAGGATTCTGCTGAGTGAGTGACTTGGCCAGGCCTGACATCAAGCAGACGGTGTCTTGGGGATGTGGAGGATCCCCCAATAGGGATGGGGATCCCTACAGCTTCCCTTGAGGCCCCCACATCTGGCGCCACAGAGAGTGAGGGGTGTGTGGGCATCTCTGCTGTCCCAGCAGTGGGGTACCCTGGTGGCTCAGTCACTCTACTGAGTTCCAAATCCTGTTTGGTGCCCTGGGGAAGTCAGTGTAAGGCCCTAGTCTCCCCAAATGCCCCAAGTTCAACTGTAGGGATCTGACCCACCCCCAGGCTTTCATCTCACAAGTGGTTCCTAACACAGAAACCACCACTGCTATTGTCACTTCAAACTTGGACAGGTGCCCCTGGGCAGCTGAGCAAGCCCAGGAATGGGACATGTCCAAGACCCCAGCTGTCGCCCTAGAGGAGGTGCCAGGGAGATGGTCTTGGGAATAAGTCATGTCAGTGTGTTGTAGACAAATGTCACCAACATGCTATGGAGCTCAGGGGGCCCTGTAACGTCCCAGGACACAGAGGGAGGGTAAGTGGGGGTGTTGGTACATGCGTGAAGCTCTACCAGGGTTGCAGGGAAATGGGGCAGGGAGAAAGGGCAGTGCTGGCTGTGGAGGAGTGTGTGTGGGGCCAGGAGGTGAGAGTGGGGTGTCCCTGGAGCATGGTGAGACGAGGGCATCTCAGTGCAGGTAGAGTCCAGGGTCACACCCCGGCCACCCGCTCTGAGGAGGGAAATGCACTGACCGTGGCACAGGAAGTCCCTTACCCTATCTGGGGCTCCCTTTCCCCATCTGTAAAAGGAGAATAATGGCCCACACGACATCAGGCTCTTTTCTACAGAGAGGCTTCCTGGGCCTCTGTGCAGGTGACAGGAGCTGGGAAGTGGCCAGGTTCCATCCTGTTTCCTCAGGGTTGGTGGGTATGTATGTGTGTGCACACCCTGTGTGCATGAGTGTGTGCACACCCAGCTTGCACATTTGTACATACAGTGTGTATGTACGTGCTGTATGTGTATACAGTGTGTGCAGACATACCCTACACACTGTATGAGAGTGTACATAGAATGTATATACATTGTGTGCATGAGTGTGCATGTGTGTACGCTGTGTATTTTTGTGTACACATCCTGTGCCCATACCCCAGTGTAAGGTAAACAGATGGCAGGAAGGGCGCCCTTGAGTCTCCTCCAGGTGTACACCACACCCTGGGTCAGTCAACATGCTGCTATATTGAGAGGGTCTAACCCAGAGGATCTCAGCCTTGTCTGCATAGTAGAGCCCCTGAGGAGCTGCTAAAAAAACCAGCACCAGGGACCCGCCCCCCAGAACAATCCAACCAGAAACTGCAATGAGTTTCAGGAGCCAGCAGTGAAAACAGCCAGCCCAGCTGTCTAACCCTGTAAGAGTTCTCAGTCCTGGCTATTCCTGGGGTCACTGACAACCCCCAGGCTCTAACCCAGACCTTGGGATCTGGTTCTGGATCCCGGGGTCTGGGCTCTCAGGTGATGGGGAGGCCATAGCCCAACCCTGCATTGAGGGACCTGGCAGAGTGTCTGGACAAGGGTCACGGTGGCAGGGGAAGAGGAACGGGGCCACCAAGCTGGAGGCTGCAGGCCCTTGCTGGGGCCCCTCCATCCGTGGCCCCTCAGGTCCAGGATTCCTCTGGAGCATGTGGCCCTGCTCCACAATGACCTGCTGACCTCCTATTCCCAGACTAGGGGTGATGCTGGTTAAACCAAGATCTTCTTCTTCTTCTTCTTCTTCTTTTTTTTTTTTTTTTTTTGAGATGGTGTCTCACTCTGTTGCTCAGGCTGGAATGCAATGGCGCAATCTTGGCTCATTGCAACCTTGGCTCATTGCAACCTCTGCATCCTGGGTTCAAGCGATTCTCATCCCTTAGCTCCCGAAGAGCTAGGATCACAGGCACGCATCACCACGCCCGGCTAAGTTTTTGAATTTTTAGTAGAGACAGGGTTTCGCCATGTTGGCCAGGATGGTCTCAAACTCCTGACCTCAGTGATCTGCCCGCCTCAGCCTCCCAAAGTGCTGGGATTACAGGCGTGAGCCACCGCGCCCAGCCAGTATCTTCTAATATCAGAAATGACAAGGTCTCCGGGTGCTTCTGGACCTGGTTCTAGTGGGGTGCAGTGGTGGGGTACAGCCTTGCCTGCAGAGCCTCAGACCTTTTCCTATAACTGCAGTGGACTGACCTGGTTCCCAGAGGCAGCTACTAACTTATGCCTTGTCCTTTTTCCAGATCTAGTAAAGAAGGGCACAGAGACAGTGTACACTGAAGTCCGGAAAGCTGTCCCTGGTGAGTGAGGTTCCCCAGTGCCCCAACCTGGGGAATGGATGCCCCTTAGAATCACTGATGGGGCCTCGGGAGTGGGCAGAGAAAAGAGGAAGGAAAGAAGGCCAAAAAAGGGGTGCCACCTCTTACACCAGTGCTCTGGGCTCCCTCTGTCCCACCCCCCTTAAAAAGTCACCTCGGATTACATTTACTATTCGTTTAGTCAACAAGCACTTCTTGAGTGCCTACTGACCCCAGCCAGTGACCCTTACCTGCTCCCCACACAGGCCCTGGTGGCTGGGGTTCCCCAAGGTCTTGGACGTCGAGCGTTTTGTTTTGGAGACTCCCAGTAGCTTCAGCCTTTCTTCTTTTTTCTTTTTTTTTTTTCTCTTTCTTTCTTTTTTTTTTTTTTCTTTTGATATGGAGTCTTGCTCTGTCACTCAGGCTGGAGAGTGCAGTGGTACAATCTTGACTCACTGCAACCTCCACATCCTGGATTCAAGTGATTCACCTGCCTCAGCCTCCTGAGTGGCTAGGCTTACAGGCGCCCACCACCATGCTCAGCAATTTTTTTTTTTTTTTTTTTTTTGAGACAGAGTTTCGCTCTTGATGCTCAGGCTGGAGTGCAACGGAGGATCTCGGCTCATCACAACCTCTGCCTCCCGGGTTCAAGCAATTCTCCTGCCTCAGCCTCCTGAGTAGCTGGGATTACAGGCATGTGCCACCACACCCAGCTAATTTTGTATTTTTAGTAGAGACGGGGTTTCTCCCAGTTGGTCAGGCTGGTCTCGAACTCCCAACCTCAGGTGATCCGCATGCCTCGGCCTCCCAAAGTGCTGGGATTATAAGTGTGAGCCCCATGCCCAGCAGCTTCAGCTTTTCTGACAATAGACTGACTTTGGGAGTGGGTGTGGGTTTGCAGGTCTGCTCTATTTCTTTTGGTTTGGCTGGCCCCACTTCACTTCCCATGATGACCCACTGCTTCCTCATGGACGGGCTTCCCCCAGAGCTGAGCACAGAGCTTAAGCAGACCCGGAATTGGGGGAGTTCAACAAGTCCTTTTTTTCGGGGGGGAGGTTACAATAACTGTATTCAATTCTGGTGAAATGAAATACACAATGACAACTTTTAAATTCTGAAAGTAAGTCAGCAATCTAAAAGACATAAACATTGTGGGGGAAATAGTGACTATGTAAGTATCTCGCTTTGTACAGCAGACCTCTATTTAAGTGGATTCTTGAAAAGGGAATCATTAAAATGGTCCAGGACATTTCTACAAAGGGTGGCTACTCCGGCTGGGAGCGGTGGTTCATTAAGCGCTCAGTAAGTGCTTTATTTATTTATTCAAAATAAATAAATAAGCGTAAAAGGACGGCTCATCCGATTGCAGTCGGTGAACCAGCAGCAGCAATATCAGGCCCAGCCCAGACCCACAAAACTAGTCTCTGGAATCTGAACTTAGCCAGCCTCAGATGTTTCTGATGCTGCCAATATTTGAGATCACTGTTTGTGTTTTGTTTTGTTTTTTGTTTGAAACGGAGCCTCACTCTGTCACCCAGGTTGGAGTACAGTGGTCCCATCTCAGCTGACTGCAACCTCCATGCGACATCCCCTGGCCCCTAAGGCTTGTGATTCTCCCAAGTAGCTGGGACCACAGACACACACCACCATGCCCAGCTAAGTTTTTGAATTTTTGGTAGAGATGAGGTTTCACCATGTTGCCCAGACTGGTCTTGAATTCCTGAGCTCAAGCAATCCACCCGCTTCGGTGTCCTAAAGTACTGGGATTACAAGTGTGAGCCACTGTGCCAGGCAAAAAGCATGTTAAAAGAACCATCCAATTCTCTGAAGACCCTGCTTTTTATCTGAAACACTGATCACTCCTTACTTCACTTTTAAAAGTTGGTATATTTGAAAGGAGAACAGAAACTCAAGCCCTTGCGGAATTTGACCCTGAATAATTACTGAATAACCAATTCTCTGGGAAATTTTTGGCTCCAGTACCTCATTTCACAATCTCCATATATTCAGAGCTAACAAAGTGCAAATCTGACAATAAATAGGCGTTTTCTATTTGTCTAGTGTAAGGGAAAGTTATAAGTGAGGTAGGGTTCAAAGTTGCTCCCATTGTGCAATTGTACAAAAATGCCCCTTCTGCTTTCTTGGTGGTCCCTGAGATTGTTCACTTTCTTGGACAGAGCTGAAGAGTTCACTTTCAGTTGCTTTGGTTATGCAAAAGCTCCTATTTGAGCACTTACTGTATGTGCTAAGTGGTCTAAGTACATCGTCTCTTTCAATGGGATTTGTCAATGGGATTCACAACAAATCCCATTTTACAGTTGAGGATACTGAGGCATAGAGAGGTTAAGACGCTTGCCCAAGATCACACAGCAAGCAAGCCCCTGAGAATCGTTCCTCCCCGGAGTGGACTCCACGCTCTTGATCACTGAGGTGTACTGTCTTCGGTTTTGGGAAGTGGGATGGTAGAAGGTGAAAGCTGCAGGGATCCTCACTGCAGGAGGCCAGCTCCTTCCCACCTCTGCCTCGAGGCCTCCAGCGAGGTCTGTGATCATCTGAGGCTACTGGTTGGAGGCCCTTTTATAGGTGGAGGGAGGCACCTTAGTGTGCGTTCTAGAGTCTATATAGGAAGGGAAAAACTTAACTTTTTTTCCTTTACTCTCCTAAGTGCTCCGACTGGGGCCCTGCGAATTGGACAAGCAGATTAACAAGAGAAAAACAGAGTTTATTAACATACATAATGCAAATCACACAGGAGAAACATCAATGAGTAACTCAAAGGGGCAATTAGCACTTGGGGTCTATAAAGCATCTTAGGCTGATAACAGTGGCTTACGCCTGTAATCCCAGCACTTTGGGAGGCCGAGGCAGGTGGATCACCTGAGGTCAGGAGCTGGAGACCAGCCTGACCAACATGGTGAAACCCCATCTCTACTAAAAACACAAAAAATTATACAGGCATGGTGGTACATGCCTGTACTGAGGCAGGAGAATTGCTTGAACCCGGGAGGCAGAGGTTGCAGTGAGCTGAGATCACGCCATTACACTCCAGCCTGGGCAACAAGAATGAAACTCCGTCTCAAAAAAATAAAAATAAAAATAAATATATAAAGCATCTTAACAAAGAGCAATAAATATGTAGAGAAATGACAAGACAAAGGAAAAATGGTTTTTGGCTTCCCAGGGTGGCAAACTGGGGAAGTGAATCAAGTGGCCACAAAGCTTCTATGGGGATATTTACAGCAGGCGTCTTTTCTTAGGAGTTTCTGCTTTTAGGGTTGGGCATGGTGGTTCATGTCTGTAATCTCAGCACTTTGGGTCTTTTCTTAGGAGTTTCTGCTTTTAGGGCTGGGCATGGTGGCTCATGCCTGTAATCTCAGCACTTTGGAAGGCTGAGGTGAGAGAATCGCTTGAGCCCAGGAATTTGAGACCAACTTGGGCAACATAGTGAGTCCCCATCTCTACAAAAAAAGTAAAAAAAAAAAAAAAAAATTTAAAATCAATAGAAAAAAAAATTAGCTGGGTGTAGTGATACGTGCCTGTAGTCCCAGCTGCACGGGAGACTGAGGCAGGAGGATAGCTTGAGCCTGGGAGGTGGAGTCTGCAGTGAACCGTGATTGCACCGTTGCCCTCCAGCCTGGGTGACAGAGTGAGACTGTGGGTTCCAAAAAACTGAACTTTTTCCCTTTACTCTCCTAGGTTTTCTGACTGGGGCCCGCAAATTAGATAAGACAGATTAACAAGAGAAAAACAGAGGCCCTCTTTGTTTTTCTCTTGTTAATCTGTCTCAAAAAAAAAAAAAAAGGAAGAAGTAGTTTCCACTTTTAGATGGAAGAAGCTGTGGGAAGACGTCTTTCTACATCTGAACCAGCTCAAGATAATCCTTATGCCAAAGGGCCATATTTTGTGGTGGCATATTCTGATTTCCTTCATCTGCTTTAGGGCAGCTGGCTGTTCAAGTGGGTTTTCTCGTGGTCTCCAGGTTGGTGTCTGGGCTGTTGGAACCTGACCCCTCCCTCAGGCTGAAACCACAGGCATCGTAGAACCCACTCTTGTAGGATTTGAAGCGGTGTAGGGCACAGGCTTTGCTGGGAGACATCGCAGTCCCCGTTCCGAGGCAGCCCCCAACCAGCTGTGTGACTGTGACCAAGATGTCTTACCCCTCAGAGACTCAGTTTCTTCAACTGTTAAATGCAAATGGGGTTAAATGAGATAGAATCATGGGAGATAGTACTGGTTATCCCCACAGTCACAGTATTATCCCTGCCACAGAGTGAGCATTTAATCAATTTCAGTTTAAAAACACAGGAGGAACTGGAACCCTACAGAATTCAGTGTCTTGCCCAGAGTACTACTAGAGCAGTCCCCTGACTCCTAGGCCAGGACCCTCCTACAGCACCACCTGGGCCACCTGGACTCTGCAACCTGGTCTCTAAACTGGCAGACCATTAGGGAACCTGACAGGTCTCTAACCTGCCCAGGGGTGAAGGTAGAGAGAGCCCTGGGTCCTGCATGGCTGTAGCCCTTGGGGCCTGCAGCTGCCTGCAGCTGTGTCTCCAACCCACCTAGAAGCCTCTGGTCCTGGAAGCCAAGGGATTTCCTGTTTCTCAGTGCTTCCTTGAGGAGAGGAGGCTGTAGGATATGACTGATTCTCTTTCTCTCTTTCTTTCTTTCTTTCTTTCTTTCTTTCTTTCTTTCTTTCTTTCTTTCTTTCTTTCTTTCTTTCTCTTTTCTTTTTCTTTCTTTTCTTTCTTCTTTTTCCTTTCTCTCCTTTTTCTTTCT